ACAAGGTTCCACAGAAAAAGGTAAAACTTGCTGCTGATGATGAGGAAGATGATGATGAGGACGATGACGACGATGATGAAGAAGAAGATGATGATGATTTTGATGATGATGAAACTGAAGAAAAAGCTCCAGTGAAGAAATCTATACGGGATACACCAGCCAAAAATGCACAAAAATCAAACCAGAATGGAAAAGATTCAAAACCATCAACACCAAGATCCAAAGGTCAAGAATCCTACAAAAAACAGGAAAAAACTCCCAAAACACCGAAAGGCCCTAGTTCTGTAGAAGACATTAAAGCAAAAATGCAAGCAAGTATAGAAAAGGGTGGTTCTCTTCCAAAAGTGGAAGCCACATTCATCAATGATGTGAAGAATTGCTTCCGGATGAATGACCAGGAGGCTGTTCAAGAGCTCTGGCAGCGGAGGAAGTCTCTTTAAGAAAATAGTTTGAAGTTTGTTAAAATTTTCCGTCTTATTTCATTTCTGTAACAGTTGCTATCTGGCCGTCCTTTTTTTATAATGCAGAGTGAGAACTTTCCCTACCGTGTCTGATAAATGTTGTCCAGGTTCCATTGCCAAGAATGTGTTGTCTAAAACGCCTGTTAAGTTTGTAAAGATGGAACTCCACCCTTTGCTTGGTTCTAAGTATGTATGGAATGTTATGATAGGACAGAGTAGTAGCAGTGGTCAGACAAATGGAAATGGTGGGGAGACAAAAATATACATGTGAAATAAAACTCAGTATTTTAATAAAGTAAAAAAAAAAATACTCCTAAAATGATAACATAGTCAATGGGGAAATACGATTTTAAAATTTAACAGTTTTTAAAAGAATCACTCTTGAGTGTGTATGAGGCAGGTTCAAAAACTGTGAATGAAATTTTGTCCATGGACTTTTGGAAACCAGTCTCTATTTATTTATCTAGCTATTGATCAATCCATGAAAACATACCAGTTATCTATTTATCTATCTATCTATCATCTATCTAAGTAAACATATCAGTTCCATTGCTCTTAGGGAAAGATACACTCTCCTTAAGCTAAATAAGTTTATTTAAACTTTTTTGTTATTCAAGAAAGAAAAGCTACTTTTTGACAATAATCTCTTCTTCCCACGGCATCATCTTCTTGGAAAGTCAAGGCAACTAGTAACCAGTTGCCAATGATTATGATTGATGGTGGGCCTATGTGTCAGTGCAAAACTGACCTCCACAGGATTTCTGAAGGGATCACTTGGAAATCGAGCTCCATGCCTTTCTGCTGAGGTGCCTCTGGGTGGACCTGCGCCTTCAGCACTGGTTCGCAGTAACTGGTTGCATTGAACCATTTGAACCACCCAGGGAATTCCTTGCAAATACGGTTCTTCATAAATCACATATATGTGATAGATTCTTGTCCATCTGCTTCCTGTTTAATGTACTGTTTGTTGCATAGCAACCATTTTTTTCCTCTGCTGTTGCTCAGTTGGCAGTCTGAGAGTCTGAAACCTGCACTGGAGTGGGTGAACCTGAGTGCTGTTTTGGTACCAAGGATGCAAATACCCATTATAGAAATCCGTAGCCGTCAGTGTTTTCTTGAGCATCACGGCTCGAACACCAATCCAACCATCCTAAAAGAGAAAAGACAAATGGTCAACAGGCAGTGTTGGCAAAAGGGAAAAACCAAGTAAATGCTAGTTTATGAAACTTTCTCATGAAAACAAGTGGACTGGACAAATGTTACTAAATGCCTCGCTGCAAAGAGCAACGTACTAAAAAACCTATGTACACCTTTACACATAGAGAGAATAAAAAGTTGTCTTTTTTCAATCTTGCAGAGTGCACAGACCCATGTATCTTGTTGTGACTGTCCTCAAACCCCACTGTTGTTGGGTCGAGGTGATTCCAATGCAGAGCGGCTCCATGTGACTGGCTTGCTGGCTTTCTTGGCTCTGATTTTTACTGAAACAGAATGCCAGGCCTTTTCTTCCACAAAGTCACTAAGTGGATTTGAACTGCCAACCTCCTGTAAAAGGGTGACAACTGTAAAAGTTTGGCAGATCCAGGATCACCCCCACTTCAGAAGAGGAAACTGATGTATCAGGAGTGACACAAATGGTGGGGTTCACACACTCATGTTCAACCTCAACTTTCCTATAGAAACCATACAGAGTCCCAGATAAGGACTGCAAGATGCATGCACTCAACACCATTTTAGCATAAGTGGAGGAGAGAGGATGAGAAGTTGATGTTGAGGCTCTGACTTTACAATGGGCATAGTCTGGGTCAATCTATCACATACTCTAAACACCTCTGTGTGGGATATAAAAAGACTGTTCCCCAGCTGTCTCCCCCAAATATATATGTCAGACTTAGGACACTGCTTGCAACTAATGATAAATGATTGTCAAGTCGTCTCCCTGAAGGCACCAGCCTTCCAGAGCAAGCAAACCCCATTGTCTGTCCGACTGTAGGTGGGGCTCACTCCCTGCTGTTGCAGACAGTGGATTGCTTCCCCTGAAAATTTAGACTAAATCAAGTCTCCAGCTCAAGGGCAATCAAGGTTAGGCCGCCATCATGAATCTAGGATCCGCCCATCTTGTCACATGTATACCTTTAATCCCTCCTCTTTCTATAGCGTGTATACCCCTAGATTGTCCCCCTCCCATTATTGTATTACCTATAGTACAACCCCTTCCTGTGACGTATGTCTTTACCTGTAACTAGGGGGCTTGCACGCCCCAAAAGATATATAAGCCTTGGTTAAAAATAGATCTCTCTCTCTCTCCTGCCCTCTCTGCCCACGCTGTGTGCGGACCTGGCTGGTGAGATCATGGCTGTCCAGTTGAGCGTGCTACCGTGAAATGTGTCTGACTTCTTTATTTTACTCTCTCTCCTATCTATTATTCTCTTATGACTTTACTATAACCTTTATGTATCATAACCAGACAATTGTGCTTACTGGACCCATGATTAGTTGTGGGGGGCTGGATTCCCCCACACTCCTGCTAGAACATGAAATGCCACATTACAGGAAATCACCCTAAAAATAGAAGGATACGCAGCAATTTTCAAGATAGTTCACTGTCTTATAAAACAGTACTGGTCCCCAACTAATTTTAAATAGTTAAGAAATTGATCCCAGTGGTGCAACAGCCCCTGTTGAACAGCACAGCCAGCGGGATACATGGAGGTCAGCTAGATAGTTCATGTTAATGTGAGCCTGTTAATTAAGTTGGGTTTCTCTTAAGAAAGCACTGAAGTTACTGATTATTCTTTGATAGTTTCAGTGAATAATAATGTTGTGGTAGTCA